GCGAGCCGCCGGTCTCTCCCAGGATTTCTACTGGGAGCCTGGGTTCCGATTGCACAACTTTGCAGGAACTCAGACAGCGGGCAGCAGCTTCTCCAGCCCGCATGTGAGACTCCCAGGTTTCCCTTCCCGGTTCCAGGAGGCAAAGGTTCAGCTTCCCTAAACTCAGGCGAAGAACTGGAGGGATTGGATTTCCTTCAGGCAAATAACTCAATTTCAGATCTCCAAACCCATGCAAGCTCCGCCTTCTTAAACGCAGGCTTCCAGCCCCTGCGGATGTCACCTCTCACTGGAGAGGCTGGAGGAAGACCCCTTGTGTTGGCTTCCCCTTCTGGAGGTAGCCGGGAACACCTACCCGATAGGTGTACCCGCTGGTAGGGTCTGGGTTGTGTTAGCGGCGATCCCAGTTTGGGAGGCAGAGCACGCCCTCTGGCTTCTCTTGGGACTGACTCGTAAACAGCTACAGCGTCCAAGTTCCAAAGGGAGGGGCGCTCTCTGCACAGGAGGTTCTGACAGCGTCCACATTTATTCTGACATCTTTGCCAGGCAGGGGCCAGGCCCTGGAAAATCCCACGGCTCTCCTAGGGGGTGTGTGTCAGGGACAGTTCTTGGGCTACCACGACTGGCTGTGACTCTAGCAGTTGCAGAAACCGTGCATTTTCCTCTTAGGCTCAAAGGAAAAAACAGTTATCGGAACAGGTTCTGTTTGCCAAACAATTATCGAGGTCTTCGCCTGCTTTGTCTCACAGAATTCTCAGAGCAGCCTCAGGGGCTCAGCCTAGGGGTAGACATTTTTGATTTCTACTTTTCAGATGAGGAGACGGAGGCATCTTGGGTCACCCCGGTGGGAAATGGCAGGTCTGGGATTTGATCCTAGGGCTGTGTGATTTCCAGAAGCTGGTGGTCTTATGAAAGATAAATGGAGTCTTCAGCAACTGTGTTCCATTATTAGTACTGTTACTGGTCACCCCTTCTCCTGGCCTGTGGCTTGTGAGAGGGTCAGCCAATGGGCGAGGCTATGATGAGTGCAGAGGTCGTACTTTGAATATTTGTCCAGAAAAAACTGGAATGTGGGCTGAGCTCTGCACTCTTGCCCGAAGGCAAGAATTGGGCCAAGCCCAGGAGCCTTGAATGCCCTATGACAAGCCAGTGGAAACACATCATTATCTCTCCACTAATCAACAGCAGGAACATGGATGGATGCTTTGTAAGCATCCAATCCTCAGCTTTCCCATGGGAGATGATTAGTGCCCATTTTGCAGATGAGGAAACTGAGGCTCAGGGAGGCTGCGTGTCCTGTCCAGGCTGGGGAGCAGCAGAGGCTGGAATCGGCTCAGGCCTTTTTGCCTCTCAAACCCGGCTGTAGAACCTCTGAGCAGCACTGCTGCATGTGTCCAGACAGTGTAGCAGATTTTTTGGTTTCCCTTAGACCTCTCAAAGTTCTTTCTTGGCAGGAGCGTGGGACAGTGGGGAGAGTTCACATGCTGCCTCCCCTGTTGTGGGGACCCTGCCTGGTCCCCAGCATTCTCTCCCATTCCCACAGAGACCGAGCGGCTTCTGACCCCCAACCCTGGATATGGGACCCAGGTGGGGGCTTCACCGGGCCCTCCGACCCCCCCAGAAGAGGAAGACCTCCGTCGTCGCCTCAAGTACTTTTTCATGAGTCCCTGTGACAAGTTTCGGGCCAAGGGCCGCAAGCCCTGCAAACTGATGCTGCAGGTGGTGAAGATCTTGGTGGTCACTGTGCAGGTGAGACCAGCCCCACGGGGGCCCCAGCAGGATGGCATGTGTGGCCCGCTGTTCTCCTTGAAGGAGAGAGCCTTGCAATGGGGCCCTAGTCCTGACTCCTTACAGCAGTATAATGACAATGCCAATGGCAGTGACTGGTCAGGAAGCCATCTGTGTGTGCAGTGGCTCCTTTTAGCCTCGCCAGCACCCTTCAAGGTCCTGGCAACTGCTGTTGCCCCCATTGTGTAGATGCGGCCACTGAGACTCAGAGAGGTTAAGTGATTTGTTTAAAGTCA